AACAATCATTCGATAAATAAACTTGAAATAAAGTGAAGACCGATACGAAAAACTGGACCACCATATCCTAACTGGAAGACAAATCGGACAGTAGGCTGGTTTTGGTGGGGACTGCTCGGTTTGGGGGTGCGGAACTACCGGTACATCCCTTTCACCACCACCCCCAGCCTACACCCATGTCGGGGATGGTTTGAAGGTGGAATGTACACGTTTATAAATAGAATTTAATAGTGAATCTTCCTCACCTAAAAAGTGTGTAGGCCCGTGAATGTAGTAGGCCTATGAAGTGTTTCTTTACAGTAGAGTAAATATTGTGGTCCAAGCACAATTTGGACCATCCCGTCTTTCCTTGAACCTTTAGGGATTTTTTAACACCAGGACGACCGAGGCCTCTGAGTCGGACCCTTGATTATGACCACCCCCCCGACCCGTCGGACATGTCGGACTCCCTGCAGGAGCGGTCTGGGTTCAAATTTAGTCCCCCCCCCCCAAAAAAAAAGGTGGGGTGGGGTCCTCCCCCGGGAAAATTCTGATTCCTAGATGGCGGGAAATGAGCTTTCCCGACTTCTGAAGTGTCTTTTAATGACTATTAAGTTCTTCAAAATTCAAGGTTTTATTCCCTCTTGAAAAAGGTCAGGTACATTTTTCACATTCTTATTATAGTAAATAGGCTTATGCTCTATATTATGGTATACACATAGAGAAAAATTGAGTAATTGCATACGTATCTTTTTTCCATGAATCGATGAACCCCAAAGAGAACGGGGGGGGGGGTCGGAAACATTTTGATTCCTCTAAGGAGGAAAATGGGCTTTAGAGGAAAGGTGTATTTTTCCCCTCTTGAAAACGATTCCATGAATCGATGAACCCCAAAGAGAAAGGTGGTCCGGGGTCCTCCCCCTAGAAAATGTTGATTCCTACTAAAGTGTCTTTTAAGTTCTTCAAAATTAAAGGTTTTCCCCTCTTAAAAAAGGTCAGGTAAATTTTTCTCATTACAGTATATAGGCCTATTATGTGTGTGTCTATTATACATTTAAAAAAAATTGAGTACTGTAGTTGCATAGGCCTATGTATCCTTTTTTCCATGAATCGACGAATCCCAAAAAGGGGTCGGGGTCCTCCTGAGGGAAATTCTTTGATTCTTAGATGGCGTGAAATGAGATTTCCCCGACTTAATTTTCCCATTCAAAACAGTTTCAGCTCACGTGTCTTGAAAAGGTGGTCTAGGCTTTTTATCTTTTTTAATGCATTTATTTATATTTTTAATTTATTTTCTAAGCTTTCATGACGATAGATTGTTGCTGATAAAAATATTGATCTAAAATTCCATGCAGGAGTGACATCATATACATTTACACGTTTAAGCGAATGCGAATAAGGTTTATGTGTTGTATTGAATTTCTCTTATAACATCAAGTATGGTCAATATCCCTATATTGAATTGACAAAAAAAGTAGAGAAAGGGGTAAAAACGGAAACTGTCCAAAAAGATACTAAATTGAGAGTGCGGCAGAATTTGTTTTAACTGATGTTTGTTTTGGAATAGCTTGTTGTCGAAGTTACATTATTGAATTTTTAACATTAAATCAATGGAAATACACAAACTATGAAGAAGTGGTAGATCAAGGTAGGTGTAGATGGGTAGATAAGTTGCAATATATCCGCTTCTTTAATCAGCATATAACTGTTTCTTAAGGCGAGTTGATTGGCCGAGCGGTTAAGTCAGGGGCACCGTAACGGCTCACTCGCCAATGGTTCCGGTGATGGAACAAGTCTTCGCGGACAAGGACTTTAAAACGTAGGCCCAGCTGGGGCGGAAGAAGAGAGGGTGCGGAGGGTGCGGTCGCACCCCCCCCCCCACCGTAAATTGTATTAAGAAAAATAAGTGTTGTATTGTATTGTTGTAAGGTATGAGTATGAGAGTGCAATGCGGGCACCAGAGGCAGGCGCGGAGACCATTCGCCAATATAAATTGATAGCAGTGCCTGGTAGTCTGGCGAATTACAACTCTTTCTGTCAGAAATACCACCTATCTAAACCAAAGACAAAAACATAGGCGAAATCAACTTTTTGCATTATCTAAGTATTAATCAAAGATGGACTGTAATTAAATCGGCTGTGCGATAACCAGGGGCGGATTTAGGTGGGGGGGGGGCGGCCCGGCCCCAGCCAAGTGAAGGAAGATGCGCTTTCCAGATGATGAAATGGCGTTGCCATCTCTACCGTATACACAGAGGTATCTTGGTGCCAGTATGCTGGGCAAGCTCCGGTAGCTGTCACCTAGAAAAATCCTGCGACTTAACTACCGTGCATTATAAATGTAATCATTTATGGAGCATTTAAAGAGGTATGTCTAAAGATTTTACTGATTCACGAACAATTGTCAAGGCTAACAAATTAATCAGGGCTCGCAGAATCGCCTGCCCGACGTCCCAGGGCAACCAAATATCTGCGTCGGGCAACCAGAAATAAATAGGGTGCGTCCCGACGGGCTACCTATTTAACATCTTTTTCTAACATAATATTCTGTTAAAATGTTAATAAAATATTTATAATTATCACATGGTTTCTCACCTCGCCGGTCATCCCTGTTCGGCTCTCAAATTTCCGATCGGCATCTAAACGTGCCATTTTTTACAAAGACTTTTTCAACCTTAAAAAATCAAGGGCTTTTAACTGTAAACGCCCTATTCATTGAGAAAATAACAGTAGAAGTACACGTCCCCATGGTTACGTTGATTTTTAATTAAGAGTCTTGCAGTGGATAGGCCCACAATATTCTCATTTATACAGAATGAGTGTGCACGTCTTTGAAAAAAAAAAGGTTTAACAACTGTTATAACACACAATAGAAAGCAAACATAAACGCCATAGTAACAACAAAGTTAATGATTTTATTATGATGATCAATGACTTAATTAAAATGACATGTAAGAAGTGAACGTACAAAAAAGCAACACTTCGCTAAAATACAGCTGAACTACTGAAACCATGCTACATGTTGGTATCTCTGGAAAAGGCAGTCGGCTATTCCCTCCTTTGGGAGCAGCAGCGCGTTTACATTCCTGAAGGCGGCGTTCAAAGAGTCAGATCAGACACTAGCGCGTATACATTCCTGAGTTGGTGGCTTTTAAAGAATAAGACTACTGTATGTGACTGACCTTGTGTCTGCTTCTCCCGTGCTTCTCCTGATCGTGGTAACCAACTTGTGTGGGAACGTTTCTCATTTCATTTCATTTCATTTCATTATTTATTTGGTCATTTACAACAACAACAAAAAAGCTGAAATTTGGGGAGACCAGGGACAACCAGAGTGAACCAAATCACTGTAGCAATGCCGGTTTACCCAACCCCAAGTTCAGCAACACATTAAAAGATCAAACATTACAGCGAATCAAAATACAAAGAAACCTTACGAAGAAAAGAGGATGGGCTTTCTAAAACTGCAGCATCGATTAGCAATCTAGGGAGCTGGTCCCAGACACGAGGCAACCTGATGGCTACCGAGTTGAAAAATGCTTGGGTCCTACACAAAAAAACTCACTCTAATTCACTGTTACTAGGCAATTTGCAGTAATGCCAACTGGTGGTATATGCTATTTCAAACAGTTTCCTTCCGTTCATGACGAAATAAGAGCATCAATACAAAACTATGTGAATTAATTTTATTTCTTTGGCTGATAGTGGTACGATGTCTCCGACGGGGTGGGCAACGAGAGCGTAAGTGGGCGTGGCCGGGTGTCGCTCAAAGTTTCTGGAATTGTTTCAGGGTTAAAACCCCGGAAATTACGAAAATTTCAAAGGCTTATTTAATCGATTTTAGTGTCTCCTAATATATCATAAAAATACATAACTTTTCCTTCCCCGCCCCACTCTGAACGGGACCAGTAGCGGCAGGATTTGCCTGATGGGGGTACGATGTCTCCGACATGTGGTGGGCAACGAGAGCGTAAGTGGGCGTGGCCGGGTGTCGCTCAAAGTTCTGGAATTGTTTCAGGGTTGAAACCCCGAAAATTACGAAAATTTCAAAGGCTTATTTAATCGATTTTAGTGTCTTCTAATATATCATAAAAATACATAACTTTTTCTTCCTTCGTTCTAGATAATCATATGCAAGGTGTATAGAACACCTTGCATACATTAGTGCTGTATGCTAATTGAAAAGTATATATGTATATATATATATATATATATGTGTATATATATATATATACATATTTATATATATAGGCCTATATATGTATATTCAAGTAATAATAACATTGTTGTAATAATACTTTCGACCATAAGTCATCATTAGGTATATTATACATATATAATAGGCCTATATACTGCAAAGATAGGTCAAAGGTCAATAAAACAGTTTCTGGTTGATATTGAGAAATTATTCTGTTAGAGTATAAATGTGCCTATTGTAAATGTTTTGTTACAAAAAGCAACTCTATACGACCAGTTTTTGCCAAGATATTACAATCATGCAAAGTTGAGGTCAAAGGTCAAAACGCAATTTCCGGTCATTTCTAGAGACAATTGTCCATTATAGTTAATATGAATATGCATGTTTTAAACATTTTGCTGCAAACAGCAACTCTGTACGACCAGTGGTTTTCAAGATATAGCTCCCTATATTTCCACCCCTAATTTGCATATTTATGCTAATAAGGTCGGCAAAATGGCACTTCCGGTCATTTTTGAAGAAAATGTTCCATTAGAGCAAATAGAAACATGCATGTTCTGAACAACTAGAAGCAACTTTCTACGACATGTGGTTACCAAGATATAAGTACCCTACATTTTCAGACCTAATTTGCATATTTCTAATTTGCATATGAAGATGAGAGAAAACAAATTGGCGACTCATTTTATTCGATTCAGCATACTTCAAAGTATATAATTAAAAAAAAAAAATGATCACGAAATTACACGGGATTATGACATAAGCCCCCGGACTATACTGTTAACATGGGGGCGCTAGTCAAAGAGACGAAGAGTCATCTTGAGAGATTTTGTTTGGTAAATCCATACAAGGATACAAGGCAGGGTATGGCCGGCATGGCAAATAGATGCAGTTATTAGCGTGTGAAAAGGTTTGGGCTAGCCTAGGACAGACCTTTTGTGTAGGCCTAGGTTATTTCTGAGTCCTATCTAGTTTATAATTTTCAATAAGGATCGTTTAATAGAGACGTAAATACGGTAAATATAAATGGAAGCATTAAAATAGTAGAATTTTATATTATTTGTGTGGATCTTAGCTAAATTTTATAAACAGCAATGGCAGGCCTAGCTAAACTCATGCCCATCCATGGTCCCAGCAAGCACTCGCATTTCTGCTTCAACTATCTTCCGCGTTTGCGGCTAAACTAGAGTAGTAAGTACTGTAGGCCTAGCCTACCCGGCCTACCTACTTGAAAGAACGTATGTCTACCGTTTAATAACTATTTGTTGACTTTGGTTGTTGAATATGAAATCATTTATTTTAATATAGTAAATTACAGTACTAGCCTAATAATAGTACAGTACTATCATCACTTTATGATGCCTTACCTGTCCTGCTGAAGTAAGGCCCCATAAATGTTTTTTAATTGCACAGATAATACCTCAAAAAAACCACTCAAATTTTCACTGAAAATTGCTATGAAAATAGGTGCGTAGGAATCGTAATTACTGCATTAGGCCTCTACATTAGGCCTCTACATTGTTTATATATTTAAATTAGGCATAGGCCCTAGGTCAAATCCTAATTTTCGGCAAAATTTTCACGGAAACCGATTCTTATTTTCGGAAATGTGCGAACAGGTTTTTAGGCCAAATTTTGTGCGGACGATAATACAAATTACATTATCCGCGCGCAGGCCTTATTATACAGTCTGGGTATATGTTTGAGCGGGAATACATTATATCCTCTGCGCAAAAATTTGACCTGATTTGAATAATAATAATAATAATAATAATAATAATAATAATAATAATTTAAAAAAATATATAGGGATAGTAATGTTTTTCCGTTAAATTAACAGATGATGATATTTGAGACAACCAACCAGTGTTTTTTTTTTGTTTTTTGAACCATATTCTTAGACATGGTGTACCAAAATTTTAATGATTTTACTATTTTATTTATATTCTGAATAGTAAATATGTTTTTTTTTTTTTTTTTTTTTTTTTTCTT